CCGAGGGGCAAGCAACTCGCAGAATCTAGCAGCATGCAGATGCCCTGTTGGCCCGTCCGTGCTTTCGTCTCGTCCCGCCGGGGGCGGAGGCGGCCAGGATATGAGACGGAGAGGCGTGCGGGTTGGGCTGGTCACAGAAAGAAATAGGAAGGAGGAAGAACGCGTGGGTACAGGTGGGCGGGTTGTACCGTGAGACGTATTTGATATTGAATAAGAGTCTTACATCTTACTTGTAAGATCTCAGATAATGAAAGGCTCATATGACATGGCGTATAGATCGAATGGTTATCAACGAGGGAGAGTAAGATCTCGGACGATGAAAGGCTCATATTAAACGGCGTGAAGATCAAACGGTTATGAAAGAGGAATATCCCCCATAAATTATTCGTTCTTTTATAGTGTGATTTGTCATCTCAAATACATGTATTTTACCTTGAGCTGACTATTTTGCCCTTAGGCCTTTAAACACGTGTATAGGTGGGCTGCTGGCCGCTGCTTGGGCTGGATGGCCGGCCGCCTGGCCATGGCTTGGCTGGCCATGGCCTGCGCTGGCTGCCTGCCGCCTGGGCATGGCTGGCCGCTGCCTGTACGTACTGCATGCATGCATATATGCATATATATACAAGATTGAAATAGGAAAATGATGATCCAAGCAATATATAAAACACATGAATTTAGGACAAACAAGTTCATATCATAAAACCATGATTCTAGCAGTTACAAGTTCATCGCATAAGACTATAATTTAGTTTAAAACAAGATCCAAGTCATGAAATAAATCATGAGCAGTTTACATCTCATCACACAACTAAAGTAATTCATCCAATGTGTAGCTTCCTCTTGATGTCATCTTCTTGGTGTGCAGCGGTGTAGGCATCCTCACGGGACTATTGGTGTCAACTTGTGAAGATGTGCCCTCCCCTAATAACGTCGCAAGCATGCTGCACATAAATTCAATACGACAATTAGATGTTTGGAAAAATTAGTGTACGGTAAATGTGTCAATTTCTATATTTATAATTTTTTACCTTCTTGTGACCCTTCCTGGCCGTAGAATTTCTTTTCTAGTCGGCCTCCGTGGAGTGCTAGGTTCCGCTGGCTGTATTGTAACATTTTTCCTTGGTTGCCTACGCTTTCTAGACAATCGAAGATAACAATCACAAACTTGAGCAATCCAAGTTAATCAGAAAAAAAAAAAATCAACGACTTCTCACATGCTACAGAGGCAATAATGCAAGCAAAGTAAAGTTCAGAGTTCTGCATGCATGCATATATGCACAGACTAAACAAAGTTGTGGAATGTACTGACTATTTACCTCTTTTTTGCAGTCCCATTGAGCGGACACTTGGAACTAGCTTGCCTATGACCTTTTTCTCCGCATCTTTTGCAAGTCATAGGTCCTCTGATCATCTTCTTTCCCTTTGCATTTGTTGGAGCAGTATCATTGTCACATCCCTTCTCACCCTCCATCTCATTGGTAAATTTTCCATCTTTGGAACCTTTCTTCTTGTGTCCACCTTCCATCCATCCCTTGATTCTTAGTTTCCTCAATCTTCTAGGAGGTAATTTAGCTAGAGATGCACCAACTAAAAAAGGTAGGTCGACTTCTGGCCATTGTGTTGTATCTGTCATCGGTTCAATCTCTCTTCCATAAGCCGCCCTAAACCTATTCACCGAGTAGTAGTCATGCACGAACTGTTCTAGGTCAATTCCCCTTTGGCGGGTTACATAGGCCAATACATGCTGACATGGCTTACCAGTGTGCTGCCATTCTTGACAAGTACAAGTCCTTTGCTCTAACTTGACAATGTGTCTCACAGAAACGCCGCTGCTATGGTCCCACACCTCTGCACTCCAATTAGAACATTTCACAATTTTCAAGTGTCCCAAACCTCTAGTATTTGCTCTTAGCTGAACCATAATAGCTGGGAGAATCCTGCCCTCAGGTAGCCTGTATGCAATAATTATTCTCTTGTGCCACAGTACCATGATCATTTCTCTGATCTTATCAGCAAGGTCAGCAACAGGTAGGTCCTTATGAGATCTAATCCAGTTATTAAATGACTCAGCAATGTTACTAGTTATGTAGTCACACTTAATGTCTGGATTGAAACCACATCTATACCATAGAAGCTTGTGATTGGCCTGTAACAATTGCATTGCTTCTGATATTCACTTAGCATTTTTGCTAAATTGTCATAGAAAATCTCCTCTCTGTAAGCTCTTGCAGCAGGATATATCTGGATAAACCCTCTAAATCTCTTTTTGAAGTTTCTGGCTAGATGATAAAAGCATTCTCTTTGCTCTGCATTTGGGAATACATTCTTCACTGCATTCTCTAAGCCTTTGCAAGCATCAGAACATATAGCAAGTAGTGGAGGATCACCTATAGCCTTCTTCAACTGTTCCATGAACCAAGTCCAGCTGACTGTTGTCTCAGAAGCAATGAAGCCATAAGCGACTGGATACATCCAATTGTGACCATCAACTGCTACAGCTGCGGCCAAGTGACCATTCCACCTTCCATTAAGGGCTGTAGCATCTATGCTCAAATGAGGCCTACAACCTTCCAAGAAACCATCAATACATGGTTTAAGAGCACGTAAAAAAGCGGTGGAAATATACCTCACCATCCACCTCAAGAACATCAATCTCAACTACACTCCCGGGCTCCGCTTCTCGACCTCGGCCTTCCACCTATATAGCAGCCAAAACTCTCTGACCATTTGCCATAAACCTCATCAAGAGCTTTTGCTTTACCCCGCCACACAGTGTCATATGCAATTTCACACTTGTGATCTGTCTCCAACCTCTTTTGCAATTCCCTAGCACCAATATTTGGTTCAGCTCTAAGTATACTCGCAGCCCATAGAGCTACCCACTTGCAATTTGGAGTTGTAGTTGCCATCCTCATGCTAGACACACATGTATGGTCATTGACTAAGACGGTAACCTGCAAGAAAAAAATAAATCAATGAGATATATTGTGTACTGTTGCATCATATATAGACACACATATGTAGTGTTGCATCATATATAGCACAGAAAAAAATTCAAGGACTTCTCAGTCATATATAGACACACATGAAATAATGCATGTTCACAGCAGCTAGCAAAGTAGACACAGAGGCATATATATATATATATATATATATATATATATATATATATATATATATATATATATATATATATATATATATAGTACTACATGCAAGTACATAGGCATGCAAGCATATATGGGCTGTATACCTCCGTTGTAGTACAGACACATGAAATATGGCAGTAAAACACTTTCATCCGGGCAATTAAACACAGGCAATGTAGAATTAATGAAATAAGCCCTGTATACCTCCGTTGTAGCGCTGCCTTGCAGTTTTCTGCCATTTATCTTCCAAATGCAAGGGTGATCTTCATCACCGGAATTGCAATAAGCCCTATATACCGTCTTAGTTGACTTCTCTACTCGTAAATGGAACTCCTTGTTGATGGCAAATTGCCGAACTGCCAGCTTGAACTCCTCCATTGTTGGGTACATTGTCCCTACCTCCATTGATGGGTTCTTCTTATCATACGTAATGACCATCTCACCGGGTACGGCATCACTAGTAGGGATGGCAGCACCATCAATATCTTGCCCAAGCGCACTATCATTCACTTGTTCATCCATTCGCAACCAAAGCCTTGTGTAGGTACATTTGTTGACTCATTTGTTGTGCCCTCTTCATCAAGCCTAAAACTCACACATCCGGTCTCGCTCATAACTTCAATTCGACCTTCATCATCCTGTGTTTCCACAATTTGTAATGTTGCTCAATCAACTTTTCCTATAGTTTCTACATCATTCACTTCGGACCTATAAACAAGCCAAACCTAGTTTTATTTCATCTTGTACTTGTACTTTGAAAAAAATAAAAGATCTAGTGGATGCAATATATACCTTTGCACTTGAAGAACAGAATGTTGCACTCTCTTGCGGATGAGGAGCAAGATGGCGGCGACCTTGCTAGGGCTAGAGCATCGATGGAGGCCTCCACTTCTTTGGTCAGAGGCTATCGGTTGCCCCACCTTGGAAGCTTAGCCATCAGTGCATGCCCAATGCACCAACTTAGTGGGCGGCAGCCATCGCGCCATGGCAGGGCACCCCAGGCGACGCCGAGGCCGAGCATCGAAGCGACGCCATGGCCAGCTAGGGCACCAGCGCCGCCTCGGCTTGGGCACCACGCTGCCCAGGGCTTCGGTTGCATCCAAGTCCATGGCCGGCGGCGTCGGCAGGAAAGGAGGGGCAGCGGGAAGGAGGAACGCCGAGGCCAGAGCACCGGGCGACGCCGCGGCTAGGGCACCACGCGCGGCCAGGGCTCCACGCTAGCGGCCGAGCTTGGTTGCCTCAAGTCCATGGCCGTGGCGTCGGCGAGGAAGGAGGAACGACGGATGGCGTCGGCCGGAGATCTCGTCGGCCAGACTCGTCTGCGCTGCATGCGGAAGGAGGCAACCAAAAGCTCCGCCGAGATCATGATCTTTGGCACGAGTCCTTCCGTAATATAGTACCGAAACTCAGTATTTTCCGAGCATACACCAAGCTCCGCTCTTTGGCACGAGAACTATATTACCCGAGCATATCAGATTAAAAGATCTCATACGGAAGGGGCAATATAGATTAGAATATCGGAAGGGCAATACAGTCAATATGAGAAAATACATGTATTTGAGTTTTGGAATATGATTAAAAGTTGTCAAAATGTCATTATAACAAAGTCACAACGTTTCGAGTCCTATTTTAGCAAAGCCAACATTAGGAATCCTATTTTAGCAAAAACACATGTTTGGGAGTCCTATTTTAGCAATTTTCTTGACGTGGTTACCTTGCACTAACATAAGGTAGAGTTACCCTGCACTCTTTCATTGGGGCATTCCATCGAGCATTTGGCGGGCACGAACTGCTCTTCTTCTAACCAGGCACGAACACCACCGTCACCTCCAACCACATCAGAGCGCAGCAATGGCGGGCAAGGTGGGGCGCACGTCCACTGCCGCCAAAGGCTCAAAGCAAAGCAAAGAACACAATGGCATCTCCGACCACTGCCGCAGCGCTCCTAGTCGTCCTCGCCTTGCTGGCCCCGCCTGCGACGTCCGCATGTTCGGCGGCGGACCGCGACATGCTGCTGTCGATCCGCGCGGCGCTGTCGGAGGACTGGAGGAGTGGCTGGGCGTGTTCTCGACGTGGACGGGGACGGACTGCTGCGCGGGCTGGTACGGCGTGGCGTGCGACCCGACCACGGGGCGTGTGGCGGACCTCTCCCTGCGCGGGGAGGTCGACGACGTGCCCTGGCTGAGCCCCGGTCGCGGCCTCCTCTCCTCCGGTGCGCGCCGCCCTCCCCTCCTCTCCTTCCTCCGGTGCGGGCGCGGCGGTGAGGGGCGGGCGCGACTGGTGCGCGCGGTGGTGCGCACGGCTGCGCTCGCGAGCGCGGGTCGCTGCCGGGACAGGTCTCGCCCTCACCGTCGCTGCCATGGCCGTCGTCGTTAGGCTCGTCGAGAAGAAACGCGTGAATGGAGCGAAGGGGTGAGGAGAAGGAAAGACACCGAAGGTAACCGTATGAGACGTGTGTGAACCGAGCGAGCCGTGGTTATGGGTTAAAATTAGTGAGCTCATGGAGATGCTAATGAACTGAATATGGACACTAACAGGCGCCAACAAATCCAAGAGAAATTGAAACATTAAGCTATGATCTGCCCATCTTTGCAGTTTTTTCGTTCACGATGCAATTACCTTGTTCGTTCTCTCTGTTCGGTTCTGTACAACCAAAGCTCCAGGGGGTCTATACAATACTCTCCTAACTTATCCACCGATAATAATAGATCATCAAACACTTTCATGTTTGCGATCTCAGGTTGACTATTGATGCTTAGTTATGGCATGGTTTTATCCTAACAGATTTGAGTAGCTCCCTGCTCTTGCTTTCCAATTCTGCTTGTGCCAATCACAACTTGCCTTGTGCTGATCACAACTTGTCTGATGCTACCACCGGACAACACCATGCCAATTCTGCTTGTGCCAATCACGACTTGGCTTGTGCTGATCACAACTTGGCTATTGCCGATCACAACCTGGCTATTATTCTCGTCTATCTGGTAACTTCACTGCCTGCCAATTACTAGCTTAATGTGCAGCCTTTGAGGCTAGGCTAGGCTTGCATTCATTGGTCACTTACAGTGAATTGATCTATTTTTTGCTTACTTTCCAAGTGTTGCAAAAAGGAGGCCGAACTGGTTTCTGAATGGAAGAAGTAGCGATTACAATACTCGCAAAAGAAGCAGAAGCAGAAGAAGAAGAACTCACAAAAAAGCAGAAGAAGAAGAAGACGAAGGGATTACGTCTCCTCTCCCCTGAGATCAGGCTGAGCACCAGGATTCAGAAGGAAATCATAAGTCTTGTGCTGCCTACAGAGAAAACGCCTATCCCTATCATACCTCCTGTTATTGTATGTGTAGAAACAGCTTTGCATCAGTTTACATTATATGCACTTTATTTATCTGTTTACTCTACTTGCAGTATGATTGCATCAATTGTATCATGAAGGAAGCTGAGTTGATCCTTGAGTGGCTGAGGTTGGGGTTTGGTCCCTACGGCTTACATCATGACTTGAGCCATGGCATTCGTAACCGGGTGTTTTGTCTCATTAAGAAGTATTCGCGTGCAGATCCGTGTTCTGCTTCTGTTGCTACCTGTGCTGTGCTGTTGGTAAGTGTTGGTGCTAGACCAGAAATGACAAGCTTTATTTGTTGTAAACTGGTATTTACTCTTTGATGGGTAACTTGCTTGCAAAAATTGCAAAAAAAAAATTCTAGGGAATCACGAAAGAGTCTGAGCTTGTCTGTAAGAAGCTGAGGCAAGACGATGATATCTTAGGTGGAGAGAATACCTTGAGTTTAGATATTTGCACGTCGGCCTTGGATATGTTGGCTAGTGATATGGATGAATATGTGCTTAAGAGGGCTAGAATTGATGGCTTTTGCTATAGGATTCACTTTGACCCAGCTTCAGCAGACATACTTACCTGGTATGATATATATATACTGATTGGTATATTTCATTATGTGTGTGAGAAATGTTTATAATGTTGTGAGGGGTGAGAAGCATGTCAATATCATTTTCGTATATCTACTCTTTCCAGGCATGAAAAGGAATGGCGACATAGCAAGGCTCAAGATACCGAACTGGGTAAAGTGCACGTTGATGGTGCTCATGAGCTAATAAAGGAAAATCATGCAACCAAAAACAAGGTATAGCAATGAACCAGCTCAAATTAACATTTTGTTCACAAAATTCTCAATCCTTTTTTGCTGACTTGAACTCTTCTCTAGCTGGAAGAGGATGTGACAGTCAACGGCATAACCAGAGGCTCTCATGAGTTAAGTAAGGAAAATCATTCGACCAGAAACAAGGTATAGCAATGAACCAGCTCAAACTAACAGTTTGTTCTTACAACATTCTGAATCCTTTTATGCTGACTTCAACTGTTCGCTAGCTGGAAAAGGATGTGACAGTCAACGGCATAACCAGAGGCTCTCATGAGTTAAGTAAGGAAAATCATTCAACCAAAAACAAGGTATAACAATGAACCAGCTCAAATTAACAGTTTGTTCTTACAACATTCTGAATCGTTTTTTGCTGACTTGACCTGTTCGCTAGCTGGAAGAGGATGTGACAGTCAGTGGCATAACCAGTGGCTCTCATGAGTTAAGGAAGGAAAAGCATTCAACCAAAAAGAAGGTATAGCGATTACTCCGCACAAATTAACAGTTTTTTTGGCCTACCTTCTGAATTTTTTCTGACTTGAGCTGTTTGCTAGCTGGCTGAGGATGTGATACTCTACAACGAAACCAGAGGTGCGTGGAGCGAGGGCTTGTATCCTGAGCGGACCGATTAAAAAGGTTAGTGGAAATTATATGGCTATAGGGGAAGTTAGGAAGGCTTTCATGCATGTATACTTGTATATAGTTCTGAAACTTGGGGGAAGATTATCTTGTTGGTCCTGTGCGTTACATGCAAGGGTAGCGGGTGGTTATGGGTTAAAATTAGTGAGCTCATGGAGATGCTAATGAACTGAATATGGACACTAACAGGCGCCAACAAATCCAAGAGAAATTTAAACATTAAGCTATGATCTGCCCATCTTTGCAGTTTTTTCGTTCACGATGCAATTACCTTGTTCTTTCTCTCTGTTCGGTTCTGTACAACCAAAGCTCCAGGGGGTCTATACAATACTCTCTTAACTTATCCACCGATAATAATAGATCATCAAACACTTTCATGTTTGCGATCTCAGGTTGACTATTGATGCTTAGTTATGGCATGGTTTTATCCTAACAGATTTGAGTAGCTCCCTGCTCTTGCAATTAATTTGTGTTTTTTTAATGTCCATCCGAGGCACTAAAAAACATTTCCTGTTCCGTATATGCACTCTGTTTTTTGTCCATGCGAGGTACTAAAAAACATTTCCTGTTCCGTAGTATGCACTCTGAGTTTGACAGATGCTCTTTGTTATGGTATGATTTTTTCCTTGCAGATTTGAGCAGCACCTTGCTCTTGCACTTATTTTGCTTTTTGTCTGGGGTACTAAAGACTGTATTTAATTAAGTGATTAAGTAATTTTACCTCCAATCTTTCAAGAAGTTACCAGACTAAAAATAATCAACATTTTCTTGGCTATGTATCTCCGATAATTCACTAACCCAGCTGTACTCTCTGTATTACCACAATGTTTTTCTGGGTTGAGTATTGCTGTACCGATATTTTTGTACCAATGTCCCATATCGGTGGTATATATCTTAATGATACCTTCCCATGGACCACAAAATCTTATTTTCACACCCGGGGGTGGGGGTGTTAATTTTGTGTTTTGTTGCACATGTTGTAATGGACCCACCCACACTCAAACAAAGAAAAAACCTGGCTGGCCTGCATTCCCTTCCTGATGCTTCTGTAAACCTGAGATGAAAGGCTACAATTATGTTCTGTCCATCTGTTCGAATCATTAGTCTGTGGTTCATATGTCTACAGATGCTGTGCTACTCTGGAATTCATAATTAGTCCGTGGTTGGTGCCAATGTTTTCCTAAACGGTAAACGATCTTTACACGGTCGCCCTTCGTTTAGCGTTTAGGCTGTTTACACGGTGTTTAAACGAAGTTAAACGGTCTAAACAGTTTTGTACTTTAAAAAAATACATATAATTATATATGTGCATGTAAAAAATCAAATATTCTAGCATTTATACATATTTATCCGAGTAAAAATCAATTATTTTGATATGTATATATATATTTATGCATGTGAAAAGAACAAAATATAGATATTTATACATGTAACATATCAAGTGTACATATTTATAAATATAATAAACTTAAACTTAAGTATATAAATTTATCCATACAAAATTGAACTAGATTTACCTCGTGTTCGCCTAAACAACCCACGTTTAATAGTGTTTATCTCCGTTCCATTTAGGCCGTTTAGATCGTTTTTTCTCGTTTTTTTACCGTTTAAACAGTCAACCGTTTAATTTTCGTTTACCCCATAAACAAAACAGTTTATCACCGTTTACCATTTAGTGACCGTTTAAACGGCCGTTTAAGCCGTCTAGGCGAACACTGGTTGGTGCCTACAGATGCTGCCCTATTCTGGAAGTCATAATTAGTCCGTGGTTAATGTCTGCATATGCTCTACTTTTCCTTTCCTGTGTAGGGTAATCATGTTAAAAGATGGAACTGCTGTAATCAAATTTACGAAGAAAGAAACTCGCTGTTGCTGCCAAATAGATTTGGCCTTTTCATGACCGATCGCCAATGTTGCGTCAGTATGCTCGCAGGCGGCAGATTCCTGCTACTTTGCCTAACTGACAGCCAGAGGTAGCCATTAGAGCGTCTGTAAGAGATTAGCCAAAAAGACTATTAAATTTACTGATTTAACCACTCTCTAAAATCAATTTGACAAAAAAAATACTACAGTACTGCAACAGACATCAAGAGGCTGAACGATCAGTGAGGTAGGCTGTCTAAAAATAGAGAGCGAATGAGGTGGGATGTATAGTTACTAGATTTGGAGTTACTCAGAGTCTGTTGGTCTATTTTTACTTTAATAATAGCTACATTTATCTTTAGAAAATGATTTGGCTAATTTCTTGGAGATGCTCTTGGCCAAGATGTTTATACCGATATCAAAGGTTAACAAATTTAACTGAGTTTTTTAAATATCCAATTGCTTGATGTTCGCCACTTTAAACAGGAGGATTATGGCGAGAACTAGTGATTGTGGTATCTGCAATGCGGGCAACATTCACTAATTTCTTGGAAACGAACAGGGCCGAGGTAGTCGTTGAGCACGTGTGCGCTAGTTCATGCCCAGATGCCAAGGAGTGGCTCTTCCATCTCATGGAGACTACTAATCATAGGCAGTTCACTGATTTTGGTTATGGCCTGTTTGGAACGTGAGAAATATTTTTTGATCCTGTGTTTTTTCTGTGAAACTGAACTGATTTCTACGAAATTCCTGCGTTCTAAATAAACCCTTACCTTATGGGCATTTTTTGGACGGCGCCTCGAAAGGCAATTCATCAAGCAATATTTCGGAGCCCCGTTTCAGTCATGGGCTTTGTTTAGAAATTTATCTTCTACTAGGTAGCGTGTCCGTGCGTTGCTATAGTGCATCTAAACTTTTGTAATAAAAACATACGGATCGTATGATAAGATAACAATACTGTAAAATTAAATACCGATGATAAAGTGTCATTTAATCAAAAAGCAAAGTTTATGAAATTAACACAGTCATAGAGAGTGCGGTGTCGTAGGCTCACAAACTCTATTGTATAGACCTTTCCGTGATTACTAAGATAATGTTTTATATTGGCAGTAAGAAATCTCCAATATCCATTTCTTTCCTGCGTCAATAAATTCACGAATAAGTTGCGCCGCATCTCCATACCATCATGTACACAAGTTTGAATATACATGTAAATATTAGTGTCCGTACGTTGTAACGGAAAATAAATATATTTTCTTGACTACCTCAGCGCCGGTCGAGCGACAACCACATTCGAGATTGATGAACACATAGGCAGATGCTCCACCCACACGATTTATTCTAAAAGATTATCATACTAAGACCATTTTATTTGCTTATGTAATAAATAATCTGACCATTTTAGTTTTCTTGGTAGTACAAAGAAAACCTAATAAAATCAATTACCTTAAATTTATTCTAAAAGTCAGGAGCTTTGACCATTCCATTTGATTATGCTCAATAACGCACCTGCGCTGGCGTGCACGGCGCAGCACGTTGCGCCACGTGCTCGTAACCCGGCGAGCGGTGCTCGGGGTCGCGTCCGCCAGGTCCAGCGTAACATCCTGGACGGAGGGAACGAACCCCCACAATTTGCTCGGGCTGGCCAGAACATCGCTGCTGCGGCGATGCTTCTGCACGGCCTTCTTGAGCCCGCCGACCCTAGGAACAGGTAATCCACCAGAACCTCCGGACGTTGGTGGAAACCGTCGCCGTTCAATAGACGGAGAGCTTCGCGTCGCGACACCGGCTCGCGACCTCTTGCCCCACCGGGGGAATGGGGCCGCACCAGTCGAATCGCTCCATCCACTCACCACTACAGTTGTCGGCGTGGGGCAGCAGGCCACGGCTGCACCACAGCCCGACCCGGCGCTCGCTCCACACCGACCACCTGTGCGCGAACGGCTCGGACCGAACCGTGATGCTCGCAGCGTCATCAACAATCGATGCCATGCCCGGCATGATGATGACGTCCATCAAGTGGCGGCGAGAGCAGGCGGCACGGGCCCCGCCCTGACCATCGAGGAGTGCGGGGACACGCATCCCAGGCATGGTGGTCGACCAAACGACTGGAGCCCCAGTCCGGATGGCCCGGGGGCACGGGCTTTTGGTCGTCGCATCCAGAGGGCGCTGTTCCCACAGCGCTTTCGACCACCCACCAACATCGCCAGATACACCGGGGAAACGAACCCCGATATATGTCTCGAAGACTTCCGGCTCACTTGCCGAGCCGGAGGAGTGGATGATGACCACTTCATCATTTAGTATCTCTCCATCTGCGTGGGGGAGCATGTTCGAGCATGGCTCGAATTCCTCCCGCCCTCCAGCATCCACCACTGGGCGGATCTCAAAAGGGTCTTCGTCGGAAATTTTCAGGAGACATATGTTCGTCCTGAGAATTCCTAGGACCTTAAGAGCTGCCAGCAGGAGCCCAACGAGTCCCTACATGATTACATCCGCAGGTTCTCAAAACGGTGTAACTCCCTTCCTGATGTCGTTGACGCGGACGTCATCAACGCGTTCCTCTCTGAGACAACCTGTGAGTCCTTGATCCACAAGCTCGGTTATCTAAAGCCCCATACCACCCGTGACCTGCTCGACATCGCCACGAACCACGCCTCCGACGAGGAGGCGGTCGAGGCGGTCTTCAGCGGCGGTCGGGACAAGGGCCCCCCACGTAAAGGGCCAAGAAGAACAAGAAGGATCGGCGCCGATCGGCCAACCTACCTTTGGTCGCGTGTAGCCGATCGTGTGGGCAAGCAGCCCTAGCAGGGGCAGCCCGACCACTTCGACAAGCTCATGGAGAGTCCATGCACCAACCACGCCTACCCCATCAAGCACCTCTACAAGGACTATGAGCTCCTCAAGTGCTTTCTACGACAGGTTGGCAAGCCGAAGGAAAGGAAGGGCAAGGAGGAGGCGGCCAAGAAAGGAGGCACGACAGGCAAGGATGATGACAGCTTCCCCGACCCCGAGGATTGCCTCATGATCTTTGGGGGATTCGACGCATCCACTCCAAGCGCCAGCACAAGGTACGCTACAGAGAGGCATATGCCGCCGAGACGACCATCCCCTCTTTCCTTAGCTGGTCGGACTCCCCGATCACTTTTGATCAGAGAGATCATCCTTCCCACGTCGCCCGACCGGGTCGCTACCCGCTCGTCGTCGACCCCATCGTCCGCAAGAAGCGCCTCACCAAGGTGCTGATGAACGCAGGCAGCGGCCTCAACATTCTCTACTTCGACACCCTCGACGCCATGCGCATCCCCCGGTCGGAGCTCCGTCCAGTGAGCTCTCCCTTCCACGGCGGATCCCAGGGACATAGGCGTACCCACTTGAGCAGATTGACCTGCCCGTCACGTTTAGCGACTGAGCCAACTTTTGCTCGGAGGTCCTCACCTTCGAGATGGTGGACTTTCTAGGGTCCTACCATGGCATCTTGGGGCGGCCATGCTACGCCAAGTTCATGGCGATCCCTAACTACACCTACCTTAAGTTGAAGATGCCGGGACCAAACAGCGTCATCACTGTGGTTAGGACCTTTTCGCACGCCTACACATGCGACCACGAGCATTACGAGCTCGCCACGGCCGTCATCAACTCCACCGAGCTTCCAGATCTAGGGAATTCATCTACTCCAGCAGTCCCATACTGCAACGAGCCGACCTCCTCGAGTGCCTTCCACCCGACTGAGGAAACCAAGGCGGTGGGGATCGACCCCGTCGACCCAACCAAG